TAACACTATTTCGAATGAAACAAAAAAAATGAAATTAAGGGTTCAAAAGAATTGATTCAGACTTGAATTTATAGATACATCTAATACGTTCACTAATGTTATTACAACGTTCATTAATAAGTTGTACGAATGTTGAAGATAATTTTTCATTTTTATTCAATGTATGTTGAGATGCATCCATTTTCTTTACGTTAGCTTCATGTTTCTTCTTATATTCTTCTCGTTGATCTTCAGCTGATTTCAGATACATATTAAATAAAGCAATTCTCGATTGTATAGCAACTTCTTTAAATTGTTTCTTTAATCCTTCTTGGACAGTTAAATTTTGAATAGAATCAATTAATGGATGATGAGATATTGTTGAGCATTCAAATGATTGACTTAGTAAATTGTAATAGGCAATTTTTTGTTTTAACAATTCATATTCTTGTTCTGATGTTTCTTGTTCATANAATGTTATCGATTAAATTCAAAGAAGATTTATTTGTGTATTTTTCAAAAGAAAAAAAACATACTTGATATTCATTTGGTTTATGTTGAAAATATTCTAATTTCAATGCTTGAATATGATAATCATAATGAATCAGTTCAACTTGATGTTCAATTTTTTTACTTAATGAAGAATTAAGATTTGGGTGTGGGTGTGTTTGGAGCTAACCGTTACGCGTTTCGACCTTGCTTAAGGGTCTCATCAGATGGTTATATTATTATTATATATGCAATCCGTTGAAATGATCCTGAGATCATAAACAAGACGTTTTATAAATAATAGATCTGTTCAATTTCGAAAGAAAAGACAGATACACATTATAGGGTGTGTTTGGAGCTAACCGTTACGCGTTTCGACCTTGCTTAAGAGTCTCATCAGACGGCTTTATTATTATTGTTACTGTTCGATTATTGCGAGTTGGATCACAAACATGTTGTTTAATCTTAATTCGTATTTTGAAGATTAATAAGAAAATATGAAACAATATTAGATATCGGTGAATAGGGTGGATTTGCTGTAGGAACGATGACTCTTATTGTCCTTGGTAGAGTACTTTTGAGATGACTCTGTATTGATAGTTGTTCAATTGATCGATAGATGACAGATAAACTACTCAATCTATGTACAAATCAAAGAATTCCCAAGAATTGCATAAGACACAACTGATAAATATTTCTTTGAGCAATTGGTAGCGTAATATATGGCTTGTTTTGAATGGAAACTATACCCTGTCGCGCCCTTGCCTATCGGTCTCATCTGGTAGCTGAATTTTTCGGAAGTGTCCGAATTTTGCGAAAATGAAAGAATATCTTATTGGTTTTGCATTTGGATGTATCTTATTGAATTTGTTCAAAATGAATTTTGATGAAGTAGCGTCATTGTCATTGGAGTCATGTGAGATATCGAAATTATATGAGAATCAATTATGTTGGAAATGTCTGATCGGTACTTTGGAAGTAGTTATCACTGCATCTTTGCGTAGGGTGTCGTAAGGTTGTCTGTTTCTAATAATTAGCTGTATGATTGTAAGAAGCTGTCAAATTGAATTTTTTATTCACATGATATTCTGATGCACTGAAAAGGTGAATGATGAGATCATTTTATAATAATAGTTGTTTGAGTGGAATCATATGCACATTCGTGACGATGCTGCTGTAGAAGTAGCTATTTGGGCGATGATATTTGGTGCTTTAGTTGCAGATTTATTCATTTTTAAGATCTACTATTATATTTCATGAGTTATTTTCAATTGAGATATGTTTTATTTATTTTTAAATCACAGCTAAAAATTCCGAATGACTTAAGTTAGTGGCTGGTTAGTTTTGTTTGAAGATTTTATGTTTGTTTACCAGTCTCATGTTGCGTTGTGGTCTCGTGGTTGATTCCCGCACGTCGATTAGATTTGATCATCTTGGACATCAGTTCTTGTTTTAAGTTGCGATTCAAACTAGTACCGACAATTAGAGCAGTATTGGGGACGTCGGTTCCATGAAAAGTGCGCATCCATAATTCATGAATATGATGTTGATTTTGGGTGAGTCTTTGCTCATGTCTTTTATGAATGACGAGACTTTTTCTTTTTGTTATTTCGTTGTTGTCTGTAGGTTGCACTAGCTGATTATGCATATTTTTGTCACTGGTTTGATCGGTAGTTGAGCTTCTGGCTGTTCTATTATATATTTTATCTGTTGATGTTGTCAATAACTGATGACATAAATAATCGAAGTCATCAGGGTTATGGAGCATAGGCAAAATGAAATGCTTTGATAAATATTTGCTGAATAATGTAGTGAGTCGCCAATGGATATGTCTTGGCTAGTACCTATAAGTCACATAGAAAGAGTGAAAAACGTGAATGAATACCGGACATTTACCCATTATAGAGAAACATGAGTTTCATTTGTCGTATTTCTTCTTCAAATTCAAATAAGGTTGTTGAATAACGAACTGCTCTCGCAATAGCAGTATCAACAGTGTTTCGGAAAACATGACCAGGGTGATCTGATCCAAATGGTACGACATACGGCTCAGCTGCTTCTTTATGATACACTGAAGCTGTTAAAGTGCCCTTTCTGTTCTCAATGAGTACATCAAGAAATGGAACACTTCTACCAATTTGTCGCACTAGTTTAATGTTAGGATGAAAGTTATTAGCTTCATCTAACATTTGGTCGATA